GCCCTCTGGCGGCTGACCTCCGATTCCTCCTTCAGGATCTCGTTCACGTTCCCGCCATCCATCAGCTTCAGCATCTCATGGCAGAGCATTTTCGCCGACTGCTTCAGCATGAAGAAGCGGATCAGCATGGGCACCATATCTGCCAGGCGCTGCAAAACGATCTGGGGGGCAGAGGAGGAGAATTCAGGAATGGAGGGCTTGACCCCTAAAACGATATCATCAAGCACACCTTTATTGACCACCAGTAACATTACCCAGAAAGCAGACAGCTGTGGAAGTACACAGTATGGACAATTTCAATTATCTGGACACCTGGTCATTATACATACAGAAACTTTAATGACATCCCATTCTAAATCCATAGGCATCAATATGGAGTTGGTCCCTCCTTTGCAGCTATAACAGCTGCCACTTTTCTGGGGAAGCTTTCCACAAGATTTTCGAGTGTGTCTGTGGGAATTTTTGCCTATTCATCCAGAGAAGCCTTTATGAGGTCAGGCACTGATGTTGGACATGAAGGCTTGGCTCGCAATCTCCATTCTGGTTGATCCCAAAGGTGTTTGATGGGGTTGAGGTCAGGGCTCTGTGTGGGCCAGCCAAGTTCTTCTACACTAACCTCACCTTTGCCTTTATGGACTTTGCTTTGTGCACTGGGACACATAGAAACGTAGAATTGACCAAAATGTCTTGGCATGCTGAAGCATTAAGAGTTCCCTTCACTGGAACTAAGGGGCCTAGACTATCTCTGGAAAATCGACCCCATACCATTATCCCTCCTCCACCAAACGCGACTGTTGGCACAATGCAGTCAGGCAGGTAACATTCTCCTGACGTCCGCCAAACCTACTTCATCCGACACTTGGCATTGTGCTCGGTGATGTGAGGCTTGCATGCAGCTGCTTGGCCATGGAAGCCCATTCCATGAAGCTCCTGGCATACAGTTTGTGCTGGAGTTAATGCCAGAGGAAGTTTGGAACTCTTCAGTTATTGAGTCAACAGAGCGTTGGCGACTTTTATGCACAATGTGCCTCAGCACTCAGCGACCCGCTCTGTTACTTTACGTGGTCTGACACTTTGTGGCCGAGTTTCCATCGTTCATAAACACTTCCACTTTGCAATAATACCACTTACAGTCAACCATGGAATATCTAACAGGGAAGAAACTTCACGAACTGACTTATTGCAAAGGTGGCATCCTATGACAGCACCATGCCTGAATTCACTGAGCCCTTCAGAACGACCTGATATTTTACAAATGTTTGTAAACTGTATGACAAGGTGTTTGATTTTAGACACCTGGAGCTTGTAGGCATCTGTATGCAGTGCACAATTACCAAAAGGAAGTATCTTAACCTCTGTTTCACGCAGAACCATAACAGAAAGTATGTGAGAAGAGGATCTGTAAGCAGGCTTCAGAGACCCTGAGCCTGATACGGTTGTGCACTACCCATAGACCATCCCAATAGCAATGAGTGGGGCCTCTACTTTGATGACATTTCTATGCTCTCAAGCTGTTCAGACAGATCACACCTACCTCATAGTAAGCCCTGAGCATCTCAGGGTACCTAATCCTGCAGTCATAGCTAGAAAAATTGTCTGCAGAGACATCTTGACTAGTGTTTTCAGTCAAACTTTTGAAGTAGATGCCATCTTGGGTGTAGACCAGCTCCTCCATGTTAAACTGCTCAATTATCCTCTCTTCTACCTTGGCCCCCTGCTTCGACTGGATGTTTTCAATCTTGTTCTGGGTGTTTTGTGAGAGGAAGAAGAAAAAAAATGAAGATCAACAAGTAAAAATGTAAACCTACTGCAGATTCCAGTACAATATTTGGAATTAGGTAGGTTGGATCTTTCTGCCTGACAGTGTATGAAAGTTGAAAGCTGTCGATATTGTACATAATTACCAAAGAGACGCATTGAAGAAATGGATAAATACTGAAGCAGTTTCTCGCAATCTCAGTAAACTGCTTTTGAACTGTGTCTGAAAAAAATAAATAAACACAAAACGCAAATATAGGCACATTGGTCAGGTCATGATTGTAGAGTTAAGGTTGTAAAAAATGACCCTCGATACCAGAAAATGTGTCACAACTACCATTTTTTCCCATCAATCACCATTTCTGTGTTGACTGTACAAGGCAACTGGTGGTTGGACTGATAAGTACCTCTGATGACGTTCAGAGTCTCCAGCGCTGGGTTTCGCAGTTGTACCACCAGCTTCTGGACGGCCGTCTCAAACACATTGTAATTACTGAACCCGGGGAGCTCTCGCCCTCTGTGTTTAAGGTCATATTGATCTACGACTTCCTGCATGATTTTGTGGACTGTTTAGAAAAAGAAATTACATGCAAGGTTAATAAAGTAATTTGATACTTTACACCGGTGTCCGGTGTTTCCCAACGCAGTCCTCGGGGAACCCCGGACAGTCCATATTTCTGCTCCCTCCCAGCTCCCAGCCAAGCAGGAACACTGAATACCTGGTACAGGTGTGCTGAGAGCTGAGAGGAAGAAAAAACGTGGACTGTCCGGGGTTCCCCGTGGACTGGGTTGGGAAACACTGCTATACATTCTGAAGCAAAATGATGTGTTGCATTATTCAGAAATAGAAGAGAAGAATACAGGAATATGTTGTGCTATATTGTAAAAAAAAATAATAATAGTAACATGTAAAATGGGAAAATGTGTTTGTTTACATTCAGTTTTGGACTCATCAAGGTGCCCTTTCCATTTTGTAAACTCAACCCGCAGAAGGACAAACAAGTTCTCCTCATTGACGACCTCTCCTGATACCAGGCGATTGATCTTCTCATTGAAATCTGTTAATGTCTGAGGAAAAAAATAGAGCATTAAAACTTAATTGAAACTCTACAATTATGTTTACATATTGCACAAGCAATGAGTCTTAGATTTACAAAGATGGATGTGCATCATCCCACATTCTAGATAAAGTTGTAGAAGGACAGGAGACTGGTCTGGGGGGTGATGAGTTTATAAAGAGGCTGAGAAAGGGGGAGTGAGGACGGCTGAGGCAGACAGAGGTATACAGGGGGTGTATTTGTGGTGCAGGACTGAGGCACTGCTTACCTCAATAAGATAAAATTTCTTCTTCTGCGTGTCCAAGGGGGGACCAAAGTCATATGACCCCAGCTCCTTCTTCGTGTCCCACAGCTGTTTTTGGATTTGTTCCGACAATATTGGCAGGGATTTCTGAGTGGAAAAGAAAAAAAGAAAGAACAAATAATAATCTAAATAATAATCTAAGCAACTTCCAT